TCATCTCAGTCTCCCCTCTGGCAGCTTAAAGCCATTCCCCTTGGCCTCTCCCTACAGGCCCTTGTTCAAAGCCCCTCTCCAGGTCTTTTGCAGCCCCTTTAGGCACTGGAGCTGCTCTCAGGTCTCCCCTTCAGGAGCCTTCTCTTCTCCAGGCTGCCCCAGCCCAGCTCTCTCAGCCTGGCTCCAGAGCAGAGCTGCTCCAGCCCTTGCAGCAGCTCCGTGGCCTTCCTTGGACTCACTCCCACATTCCAAGTAGATTCTCCTCTCAAACTACCCTGAAAACTAAACACCATGTGGTGGGGGCTGCTTATCGAGGTGCTTCTCACATGGGATGCTTCAGCATTGTCTTTCTAACGGTCATCGGGTCTTGTTTAAGGGAATTAGGCTTTTAGGACATCTGCTGCCATCCCCACATCCCTCTCATCATAGCAGTAATTCCTGGGATCGCCATCCCGTAGCCACCAAATCACAGCAGGCACAATGACTGGGGCCTGCCCTTCCCCTGCTCCTTTCAACATCAAACTCTAAAGGCTTTGCAGGGGGACAGGGTCCAGAGCCCAGGAGACTCCTGTTTCCATTCCACTCCATTCAAGATGCTCCAGGCCAAGGAAGAGAAAGAAAGGAAGAAAACAACCCTAAGGCACACAAGTGCATCCTCTGCTGATGAGTCTGTTCTACTGAGCAGGCATTTCTCTGACAAATGTTAGATTATCTTCTTTACTTATTAATAGTGCTGGAGGGGAAGGACTGTGCCTCAAGAGGTGCTGCAATGCTTTCTGAAGGAAACATCAGAGCATCTCTATGAGCACCAGGCTGGTATCTGCAGACAGGTTACTTTTAAACACATGCCTCAGTCGTTCAGAAGAAAACTCTTCAAAGTGGGTCAGTGTTTGAGTCGCCCATCAGGGGTCTATAAACACGACATCAGCTCCGTGTTGGCTTTCTACTCCCCAAAAATAGGTCTTAAAGTGGCTCTGCCTCTCCACGAGAGGGTGACTTGGGATCTCCTGCAGGTATTGGTGCACTCTCCTTCTCCCAGGCAATGCTCTTGGCACAGTTCCTGGCTGAGCCCACCCAGCCCAGACATGGCATTCACCATATGGGAGCATGGACACTTCCCACTGCTGCCTCGGGATGGATGCTCAGTGGCTGTTGGGGTTGTTCCTTTTGCTTTGTTCCGCCTGCAACAGGACTGTCCCTTTGGTGGAGCACGTAGCTTTGCACAAGGGAGTATCTGCAATGACTGGGAGCATCCTCCTGCCCTTATCCTTATCTGCTCCATCAGCCACGGTGTGTTGGGGTGGAGGATCCCAGTCACAATGGCAGACACCCTATCTACTTTTCCAGCAGTTTTCACAACTTTACAGCACCCTCAGCTCCAGAAGGCTTCTGCTGCCTCTGGGCAAGGTCTGTGAAACCTGAACATCCTGGTGGCTGCATCTGCTGACACCCTGTGAATCGCAGAATCACAGAGTGGTTTGGGTTGGAAAGGACCTGAAGCCCATCCAGTTCCAACCCCTGCCACGGGCAGGGACACCTTCCACTAGAGCAGGGTGCTCCAAGCCCCTGTGTCCAACCTGGCCTTCAACACTGCCAGGGATGGGGCAGCCACAGCTTTTCTGGGCACCACACCTCAGCACCCTCACAAGGAACAGCTTCTTCATTATATCTAACCTGAACTTCCCCTGTTTCAGTCTGAACCCATCACCCCTTGTCCTATCACTCCAGTCCCTGATGAAGAGTCCCTCTCCAGCAGCCATGTAGCCCCCTTCACACACTGGAAGCTGCTCTGAGGTCTCCACACAGCTTCTCTCCTCCAGGCTGAACAGCCCCAATGTTCTCAGCCTGTCTCCATACAGGAGGTGCTCCAGCCCCTGAGCATCCTCGTGGCCTCCTCTGGACTTGCTCCAACAGCTCCATGTCCTTATGTTGAGGACACCAGAACCGCGACACACGGAAAGAGGCAGGAAGCAGGAGCAACATCACCACCATCACTTAACATGCAGCTTGATCCATCACAATTCCTCCCTGGCAACTCACTCAGCCCTCTCCTGGTGGCAAGAGGCTGTGTGAGGAGAGGACACTGCCCCCCCCCCAATGTCAATAGGAGCAAATGGGATTTAAGGCAAGCAAATGAGAGCCCTCTTGAGCCGCGCTCCTGCGAAGCAGAGGGAGATGAAGGGGGAGGAGTGAAAAGGAGAATCCATAAATCTTCACCTCATTCACAATGATCCGGAGCTCTTATTAAGTAAATTAATTGAAGTTAATTTAACTCGATCATGACTCCCGATCACAGTGATTTACTGAGGGGGAAATTGCATTAGGAAAGGCCACACTCGCCAGATAGAAGAACGGAAGAGAATTAGATCCACTTAGCAATGGGAATTAATATGGAAATAGCAGGTGTAAATTTCACCTTATCAAGAGAGGGAAAATGATCTTCATAAATTCGGAGCAATGGCCCCCGAGTTGCTTATAAATCTATTTAAAACAAAAATATTACCAAAAGTGTGCTAAAATTAATTTCAAATATACTCCCATCTCTCGCCTTGGAGTCAAGTCAGCAGCTGGGGCAAGTTTCATGCAAGGCAGCAGGAAGGGGAGGACACGACTCATCACCCAAGGGATCAGCACCAGGTACCTCAGGACCTGCAGCAACTCCCCCTGTCACTCATGTCACAGAAACATGGAATGGTTTGGGTTGGAAAGGACCTTAAGGTCATCCAGTTCCAACCCCCTGCCATGGGCAGGGACACCTCATGCTAGACCATGTCACCCAAGGCTCTGTCTAACCTGGCCTTGAACACTGCATGAGACAGACACAGCTCCTGCCTAATGTTTCTTGTGGCAGTGTATTCAATCTGAAAAAATCAGTGCCTATGTAAAATCCTTGCACATCACCTTTGGACTTCCCCAAACCTGGATTTCATAGCAGGAACTTCCCCTTAGCAACAGTTAGAAACCACACTGGGAGCAGCACTTGGCTGCAGCACCACCAGCCTTTGAGCATCTGGCTTAAGGTGAAAAGGATGTTAGAACCAATAGCTGACCATTCAGTATGATGAACACCCAATGATGAATGAGGAGGTGTCTAATCCAGTGCTGCAGCAACACACAGTGTGTCCCACCACCACCAAAGCCCCCCATTGATTAGGCCAAAACAAAGCAAAGCAGCAAGAAAGCAGCTTCTGGCTCCTTGCTTGTTACAGGTCCAACAGGATGCTATGAATGATGGAGAAAACCCTACAGGAGAAGCATTTGCCATGTGCTTCCTCCAGCCAGAGCAGATGATGGATCACACACCACAAAGGTAATAGGAGACGGAGTAAGTGATTTATTGCTTCTTTAAAACATAATTGTTTTAATTGCTGATGGCATTTGATCAAGATTTGTCTGAAGCAGCTGGAAGACCCAAACTACATCATGCAGTGAAGTCAGAGATTAATATGGATAAAGTGACTCTACAAGTGAGAGCTTGCAGCCAATCCTGGTGGCATGAACAGGTTGTTTCTCTGCAGAATCACTACTCAGCTGAGCAAGAGCCATGACCCAGCAGCTTGAGACTCCTGCTCCAACCCTGACTGAAGCTCCTGCCCTCCTCAGCTGTCACTGCAGATCCTCCATCCATCACCTATCCAGATCTGGAGTAACAAGCTACAAACCTGAGCCAAACAGTTGGAACATGAGTTGCTTTCTACTAATTAAGGCTGAACTTCATAGAAGTAAAGACTGGTTTGGGTTGGAAGGGACCTCAAAGCTCACCCAGTTCCAACCCCCTGCCACAGGCAGGGACACCTTCCACTAGAGCACCTTGCTCCAAGCCCTGTCCAGCCTGGCCTTGAATGTTTCCAAGGATGAGGCATCTACCACCTCTCTGGATAACCAAGGTAGGCATCTATTACAGCACATGCATCTGCAGCAGATCAAACTTGAGGTGGCAATGAGGAGCCTCTCTCCATCCCTTACCACTGATGCCTGAAAGAGTTTCGCTGGTCAGGCTCATATATCAATGGGTAATAGTTTTGGGCAATGCCATGTCACAGTGTGACACAGTGCACCCAGAGGAGCTGTGACTGCCCCATCCCTGGCAGCCAACAACAGGGGAAAACCCACAGCATTCCCCAGCTCCTTGGGTTTGCTGCACTGGGATGAGTAACAAGAAATCCATATCCAGGCCAGGCTCTGTTTGCCCAAAATATTGCCTGTGACAGTGGCAAAGAAGCATCTCAGGAGGAGGAGAAGTCATTCTCACCCTAAGGCTAGCCAAAATCTGCATTATAACCAAAACCACCAGTTCTAATAGCGGTTTTAGAGCATCAGTTTTAGAGCATCAATCACCATAATGATCTTTCTGCTTCACACACAACTTCCAAGCTTTGTCTTGACATCAGAGATGTTCCTTGGTAACATCTCCACCAGCAAATGTGGCTGCAGCTCGCCCATAGCTGAAACACAGATGCCAGCACAGCTGATTTAGGCTCATACTCTAGGGTACTGCACCATCCTTTGGTGACATCCTTCATCAGATGGGTGCTGGCACACCAAGTTATTTGTTCCAGGGCCAGGCTGATGTTCCATCCATCCAGATAACCCAGGAAGAAGCAAGTTGTGCCTGCACCTACTTCCTGGTGTAGGTTTGGGACTTCCAACATGCTTTCAATAAGCTCCTCTGTAGCACCGACATACATAACATTATAAAGCAGAAGGAAGGTCTGGCCATGTCTGCCTCCAGAAGAAGCAGCAACTTTGCTGAGGTCTGATGTTAAAAGTTGAGTTTATTCTTAGAGCTTATTTAACTGCTTCATGGAAACAATTCATTCCCATAGGGAATAAATAGGAAGCCACAGGCTGTAGGAAAACTGTTGGCCACCAACACCGACTAGTATGATTCCTAACGGGATTTTACAGCCTGAGTGAATAAACCCAGCTAAACAAATAGAGAAATTAAGTGATGAACACACATTGGTAATAACACAATAGCCAAGGGATGGAAGAATTACCTGGATGTCACGGGGCGCCTCATCTTCCAGTTGGGAATGGGGCTGCTGAAAGGCGATGAGGTTGCAGGCACCACGTTCTTCTTCACTATCCTGTAGCGGGTCTTTATCACCTTGTTGGCGGGGGGGCTCCTGAGGAAGTGCAAGTTGGCTCCTACAAGAAAGCAAATGGAAGAAGGGTTTGAAATTCAGGTGTGTGTGGGATAGAAGGGAACTCACCAACATATGTCTTACACCAAACTCTAAGATCCATAAAAAGCGGGGGGAAAAGGGGGTAAAAGACCCCTGGGGTGCATCAAACATGAGACCACCATGGTTAATGATAACAGAAAGGCTCTGATGGATGTGGGTTGGCTTCACCAACCCAGAAGCAAAACTCTAACATGGATTCACCAATACCTTGATCCCCAGCACTGGAACTGGGTTTATGCATTGGGTTCAAGCTTAAAGAGGGACATTCAGGTTGGATATAAGCATGAAGTTCTTTACTGTGAGGGTGGTGAGACACTGGAACAGGGTGGCCAAGGAAGATGTGAATGTGTCACCCCTGGCAGTGTTCAAGGGCAGGTTGGACACAGGGGCTTGGAGCAAGCTGCTCTAGTGGAAGGTGTCCCTGCCCGTGGCAGGGGGCTAGAACTGGATGAGTTTTAAGGTCCCATCCAACACAAACCAGTCTATGGTTCTATGATTTAATCACTCCCATTTTCCTCCTGTTTCACACTGGTTTATTCTGCTGAATGTTCCATGCCATTAACACTTACATATTTGACTCTGGTTTTCCTCCACTTGATGGCAAGCAATTTTTTGTGCAGCTCTAAGAAATGCATCTAATTGCCTGACTTTTATAACATACACTGTAACTGCCCAGATAATTAAAGCTGACACTCCGTGCTGAGACCAAGGCTTCTGGGTTTATCACTGATTTAAAGGGCCGGCTGTTATTCTTGGGGATGCTCTAATAATTAGAAGGTTGAGAGAGGAAAAGCAGAATCATTATTTCCCCTGAAAATGTTGGACCCGTCCCCATGTTTGCCTTGGTGAAAGAAAGGAGAATCAGGCTGCGTTCCAGCTAAAGGGGTAATCTGGATATATGCTGGAAGTAGAAAAACAGGAACATCAAAAGCAGCGTGACCAGCAGGTTAAAGGAGGTGATCCTGCCCCTCTGCTCGACTCTGGTGAGACCCCACTTGCAGCACTGTGTGCAGTTCTGGGGTCCTCAACATCAGAAGGACATGGAGCTGTTGGAGCAAGTGCAGAGGAGGCCACGAGGATGCTCAGGGGCTGGAGCACCTCCTGTATGGAGACAGGCTGAGAACATTGGGGCTGTTGAGCCTGGAGAAGAGAAGCTGTGTGGAGACGTCAGAGCAGCTTCCAGTGTCTGAAGGGGGCTACAAGGATGCTGGAGAGGGACTCTTCATCAGGGACGGGAGTGATAGGACAAGGGGTGATGGGTTCAGACTGAAACAGGGGAAGTTCAGGATGGACATAAGGAAGAAGCTCTTCCCTGTGAGGGTGCTGAGGCGCTGGCACAGGGTGCCCAGGGAAGCTGTGGCTGCCCCATCCCTGGCAGTGTTCAAGGCCAGGCTGGACACAGGGGCTTGGAGCAAGCTGCTCTAGTGGAAGGTGTCCCTGCCCGTGGCAGGGGCTGGAACTGGATGAGCTTTAAGGTCCGTTCCAACCCAAACCATTCTATGACTCAGATACCCATCGCTTTAGAGGTGAGGAAAGAAGAGAGAGGAAAGAAGACAGAAAGCAAACGGGTTTTCATCACTGCTTCCCTGTCCTGGGACTTTTTATATCAGCCTAAATTCTTCAGGCCAGCAACTTCACCACTGGGTTGGTTTCTAAAGCCCTTTGCAAGGTTTAAGCTCTAATTCCCATTCCAATTACTCTCAAGCACTGGCAAAGTTGGAGCATTTTGCTTCAGAGAACTGCATTTAGGACTGCAAGATGGGAACAACAGAAGGACAGACATGCCAACCCCTGCATGGCCCAATGCTGCACACACAGGATGAAATCCCACCTACTTTGAGACTGAGACCTTTTTAACCCAGGAGGCATGGATGCATCCAGCCTCTCATGGATACAGCATCAAGCACGTACCCAAAGCAGCTCTTCCACACAAGGATGGGATGAGAGCCACAAACCCCCCTCCTCCCCATACAGCACCAGCACAAGTTGACCCTTTCCCTCCACCTGCCAGAATTATTAAGCTGGGAATTCACTGAATCCATTATGAACATCATTTTGCTGCCCTTACACCAGCTTTAGTTGCCACTCATCATCCCAGAACCTCATCAAACTCCTGTTTGACACCGTCTCCCCGCTCGCGCAAGCAATAGAGGTCCCAGATTGTTGAGCTTTAGAGGCATCCTCACCCCCCTTCCCTGCCCAAACGGGCTGGCACCTGGTAAACTCTATTCCCTGGAGGTAATTGGATGGTGTATTCATGCCGAAGCTGCTCTTCTGAAAGTGCCTGCATGCACAGCTCCAGCATTAACCACCTCCTCAAAGAGCCTCTCCGAAGAGCTCCGGTTGCTATTATTACTTGCTAGCTGAGGGGTTTTGTGTAGATAATCATGTTATTTAGACAGGATGTTGGTTTAATTCCCTTCATTACAGCCTCCCAGGGTTGTAATTTGGGTGGGTTTTTTTTTCCCCTCTCCTCCACATGATGTATTCCCCGTGGCACATTTCACTCAAATCAAACACTTTTGGCTTTTATTACAAACAATACCCCAGCGTCCCCCGTTATCAGCCCGGCGCACACACGCGGGCTCCTCGCACAGCTCCAGAGGTCAGGTCTAATGACTAATCGATCTCATTAGCTTTCCTAATTAAAAACTTTACTACCGCAATGGAAGACAAACTACAACCAAAAAAAAAACCCACCCACCCGCCCTGCTTGCATCATCTTGGAATGGGATATGAGCAGCATTTATCAGCCCAGGCTCCCGGCGCAATGGGACGCGCGCTGCTGAGGTCGGTGCTTTGTTCCGAGCTGCGCATCCCATGGGATCGCGGTAAAAATCACGGGGTAAACTCTAATCCTGAGCTGGAAGTGGGTAATTTGCTGCCAAAAGCTCTTGTCATGGTGCTGCGAGCAGATGGGAGTCCACCAGTGAATGCATCCCTTAGGAAAGGGGTTGAATGCAATGTGGATCCGTATCATGGAGTCACAGAATGGTCTGGGTTGGAAAGGACCTTGAAGCTCATCCAGTTCCAACCCCCTGCCACGGGCAGGGACACCTTTCACTAGAGGAGGTTGCTCCAAGCCCCATCCAACCCAGCCTTGAATACCATGGGACATATCCTGCCCATGGCAGGGGGCTGAAACTAGATGATCTTAAGGTCCCTTCTAACCCAAACCAGTCTAGGATTCTATGATTTCTGTTCTGTCTCCCCAAAATGAATGAGGTTTTAACATCGAAAAGGGAGAGCTTTTCTCCAACCCCAATAGAAACTGGAGAATGAAGAGCACTTGCAAGGAGGTTTCAACATAATAAAGTAAAACCTTTTGTAAAAACATGCATTTACCCCCCAAAAATGGAGGGAGGGAGCACTAATCTGCTGCTACTTAATCCACATCCTTCATCCCTATAAATTCTCATTAAGTCAGAATCATAGAATCATAGGATCATGGAACGGTTTGGGTTGGAAGGGACCTTAAAGCCCATCCAGTTCCAACCCCTGCCATGGGCAGGGACACCTCATACTAGAGCAGGGTGCTCCAAGCCCGTGTCCAACCTGGCCTTGAACCCTGCCAGGGATGGGGCAGCCACAGCTTCTCTGGGCACCCTGTGCCAGCACCTCAGCACCTTCGTAATCCTACAGTTCTGCCAAAAAAATGAGCAGAGGGGAGGTGGATATTAACTAATTTTGCCTGTTCCTCAACTAAACCAGGTCCAACAGTCCCAGTCCTGGCACACAGGCAGTGGGGAACGTTGTACCCTGAGCCTGTGTGACTGTGCTGTTACAGCAGCTCTCAGCATCCTCAGCCACCCGAGCACTAACAGGTACGTGTTCAAGTCCATGAGGCGAGAGGAAGATGCTGCTGCTTGGGGTGGATGAGGGAAAGTGCAGTGGTGGTGGAGTAAATCCTGTCACCTCCTGCTGGGAGAAGGAAGCTAAATAAGGAAGATGGATTTCAGAGTGCACATACTCAAAGCCAAGAACCACAGAATCAGGGACTATCAGGTTTGAAGGGACCTCAAGGATCATCTGGTCCAACCTTTCTAGCACAGCATGACCTAGGCTAGATGGCCCAGCACCTTGTCCAGCTGGATCTTACAGGTGTCCTGCACTGGGGAATCCACCACTTCATGGGGAGATGATTCCAGTGGCTGATTGTTCTCACTGGGAAACATTTTCCTCCTGTGTCCAACTGGAATCTCCCCAGCAATAACTTGTGCCCGTCAGCCCTTGCCTATTCCATGCACCTCCTTGTAAAAAGGAGTCTTCATCATCTTTGTAGCCACGCTTTAACTACTGGACATGGGGGTAAGGTCTCCCCGAGCCTTCTTTTCTCGAGGGGGAACAAGCCCAGCTCTCTCAGCCTTTCCTCAGTTTCCCAGTCCTTGGATCACCTTTGTGGCCCTTCTCTGGATTCTCTCCAGCTTGTCCACATCATCTTTGCATAGCAGGGACCAAAACTGAACACAGTAACAAGAGGTTATTACTGCTTTTAGAAAAGGATATGGGATAGGAAAAACTTCCCAAACGGACACACAAATGAGGCAGGAATGGGAAAAGACCTACAGTAACCAGTGCTGTGGGCCATGACATGACCTGGGTCCTATCACGTCTCCCACCCTCCATCAACAGACCTCCCATGTGTGAGTCTCTGCTGGCGCACACCAGACACCGGCAGCTCCATCACAAGCTGCTGGCACTGCTGCTGTTCAATCCCACTCCAAGGCGAGCCTGGGAAGCTGTGAGTGACAGGTACATTGATCTTCCAGCACTTGGAAGCGAGACAGGAGCAGGAATGAATGCAAATTGTGGAGCAGAAGCTGTATCTCTGATAGGATGCCAGTATTGTCCCCAGCTCCAGAGGAGACCTTTGGGATGCAGAGCAATGCAAAGGGGTCACCCTATGAGACCCTTCTGACCCACTCACAGTGAGTCGACGAAGAACAAAAGCAAATCAGAGGCGAAAACCCTCTGATAAATCAGAGTTGCTGTTTCAAAGACAGATATTAGGAAGAATAATAAAATAATAAGGAATACATGTGCAAAGGATGCTACCAACATGCCTGAACTCCTGATACAGGCTCTGATGCTAGCAGACGTGCACTCAAAACCAAAGCAGCTCCAAAAAGGACTGAAAATCTCTGCTCAAGGGTATTCTAAAGCCAAACACTTTCTAACATGAAGATGTACCCTAGAAACACTCTCGCTAAAGGATGTGCTCCCGGCCTGGAAATAAAGATCCAGCAAAACCCACCATTATGTCTCCCTCATCTCCCAGAACAAAGAAGTTTTGGACCTACCCAACTGTCCTGGGTTCAGCAGTAGCACTCATTTTTCTCCTTCTCAGTAGCTGGTGCAGTGCTGTGGTTTTGACTTTCAGCCTGGGAACAGCGCTGATAACACCGATGGTTTTAGTTGCTGCCCAGTGATGTTTACTCTGATCAAGGACATTGTGAGTCTCATGCTCTGGCAGGGCGGAGGGGAAGCCAAGAGGAAGCAGAGACAGGACACCTGACCCAAACTAGCCAAAGAGGTAATCCATACCACAGCATGTCATGCCCAGGATGTAGAACTGGGGGCAGTTACATGGAAGGGCGAGATCAGTGCTTGGTCGGGCTGGGTATCAGTTGGCGGGTGCTGAGCGGTTGTGTTCTCTTCCCTTGTTATTTCCCTTATCATTATTATTATTGGTGATATCAGCAGTGGTTTGTGTTATACCTTAGTTACTGGACTGCTCTTATCTCAACCCATGGCAGTCACATTCTTTTCAATTCTCCTCCCCATCCCTCCGGGAGCGGGAGGGGAGGAAGGCGGGGAGTGAGCGAGCGGCTGCATGGCAGCTAGGCTTAAACCACGACACCAACTCATGCATGGACCTTTCAAGAGTTACATTAACAGATCACAGAATGGTTTGGGTTGGAAAGGACCTTAACATCACCCAGTTCCAACCCCTGCCGTGGGCAGGGACACCTTCCACTAGAGCAAGTTGCTCCAACCCCCGTCCAATCTGGCCTTGAACACTGCCAGGGATGGGGCAGCCACAGCTTCTCTGGGCACCCTGTGCCAGCGCCTCAGCACCCTCACAGGGAAAAACTTCTGCCTTATACCCAACCTGACATCAAATGACCTTGCAATGGGGATATATCTGTGAATGAACCAGGATAAAGTTTCTTTCCTGCACCTACACCCCAAAGCAAATCATTTTGGTGTCCCCATCACACCACAGGCACCTGCAAGACACCAACCCTGAGCCACACGATACCTTTTATTCTGCCTACCAACTTGGGCAAGTCCCCAGAGTTAACAAAAGGCTTTAGGAATTACTGTAATACTGTTAGGAATCGAGTGTGAAAGCAGGCACCAGTGTTAGGGGATGATTATCTCGGAGCATGTTCAATATGTTCCCACAGAATGGCACAGCAAGAGGTTAATTATATTGCGACTGGAATCCGCTTCCAAAAGGCCCATCCTTGGCTTGAAGAGGGGAATTGAATTTTCACACTCATTCAGTTCCCAGCTCTTTCAAGAGCAATGGCTATTTATGCCAGAATGGAAATGATGGCTTATGAGCATCAACTGCTGTTTAATAGGACATAAATCCAATTGATCAGAAGTGCTCTACCTGTAACCCCAAGCAAGACTGCTGTTTCAGGCTGTAAGAGTCACAGAGGACAAGGGTAGCACAAGTTTTGCAGCTGGAATGTCTGAAGGGGCTCTGAACCCATTGCAATGGTTGCTCAGCACGGCAGCAGCTTCCACTGGGAACATTTGGGGAATTAACTCCAAATCTGCTTTCCTGATTCCTTTATGCTGAAGGGACTGCAGGCAAAGATGAAGTTAAGGGAAGCCATCAGGCACCATGCTGAAGAATGTAAGGAAATACCTGTTTTCATAGGATCAGGGATTGGAAGGGACCTCAAAGCTCATCCAGTTCCAAACCCTGCCACAGGCAGGGACACCTTCCACTAGAGCAGGGTGCTCCAAGCCCCTGTGTCCAACCTGCCCTTGAACACTGCCAGGGATGGGGCAGCCACAGTTTCTCTGGGCACCCTGTGCCAGCGCCTCAGCACCCTCCCAGGGAAGAGCTTCTGCCTAAGAGCTCATCTCAGTCTCCCCTCTGGCAGGTTAAAGTCATTCCCCTCGGTCTGTCCCTCCATCCCTTGTCCCAAGCCCCTCTCCAGGTTTCCTGCAGCCCCTTTAGGCACTGGAGCTGCTCTCAGGTCTCCCCTTCATGCAGCAGAGGGGCAGGATCCCCTCCCTGAGCTGCTGCTCACATTCTAGGGGTGCAGCCCAGCACACACGCGCGGGGGGGGTCTGGGCTCAAGCACACACTGAAGCCGGTTCTGGATGCTTTAGATGCCCTGAAGCAGAATGCAGGTTGTATTTATACCAGGATTACTTTAAAGGCTCTTAGACAGGAAGGAAGCTGAGAACACCAGCAAAGAAAGAAGCAGCATCTCTCACTCCCTGTTTAGAATCAATCCAAAGGTTTAGGAAAGCCCCGCCAAGCGTGGAGATGGCATGGGGGAACCAGGCAATCCCTTGGCTGTTGAGAAGGAGAGAGAGCGTGGAGGAGAGCACCTGGAGAAGCTGGGGACAGTGCAGAGTGGAAACACTGTCAGCAAGTGTGACAGGGGAGAAGGGGAGGTAGCAGAAAGGAAAGAAGCAGGTGTGAAAGTCAGGGAGCTCCTCCAAGAAAATCCCTGGGAAAATGCTGCTGGAAAAGATACCCAGGACCAGCATCCTGAAAGTGGAATTCCTGCAGTCACCTTTCAGCCCTCTGCGGCTGAAGAAGTTTGAAAGAAGGAAACCACGCAGCATCATTCAAGGTTGGTGATTCCTTCTTGAAATTAGGGAGCAGAATCTCAATACCTGTTACCTGGGACTCATGCTTCATAGTGTACATCTGCATGCACTTTCACATAGCTCAGCTCCCTCTCTGATCAACCCATCCATCTGCTCCATCCATCCATCCACCCATCCATCCATCCCCTCTATAACCTGTCTACCAAAACAGCATAATACAGGTATCTTCCTATGGGAAGCACCATTACCAGTTTGTCTACTGACCATGTACAACACTTCTGGTTGTTCAACAAGTAGGAGTTTTTACAGGGAATGAGGAAAAATGCACACTTTAATCCTACAAGCACTTGTGAGCAGCACAGCAAGTGTCTGCCCCTTCACACCCCAGACACAGGCTGCACTTCCATCCATAGCTGAGACGCTGCATATAAAGAATCATGGAATGGTTTGTGTTGGAAGGGAGCTTAAAGCTCATCCAGCTCCAACCCCTGCCAAGGGCAGGGACACCTTCCACTAGAGCAGGGTGCTCCAAGCCCCCTCCAACCTAGCCTTGAACACTGCCAGGGATGGGTCATTCACCACTTGCTGGATCTGGTTGCTTTGGGTTTCTGTTGGAGCACCAAACTTAAGATGCACAGGGCCAGCCCCTCCATTTAGGAAAGGTATTTGATACCAACTCACAAGCAGAGCAGCCTGGACAGAGTCCTCAGTGATGCTTTTGGAAGCCACCGTAAGCCCTACAGCAGCCAAACCAGCACAGCACAAAAACCCAGCCAGCAGAAGACTTTCTGCTTGTGTCTCTGTGAGTAAAACTCCCCTGGACCACAGCACTGGGGAGCTTTTATGTGTTTATTTTTTATCCCACTAAAAGGCATTTAAATCTTGCACCTACTGCTGAAGATGCATGATGTGCATCTCCTGGACCTGGAGAGACTAACACTGATTTAACACACGGAGATCTTTACTCGTGATTGGTAGCCCATTACACACCGGTTGTCAGCATGTTGTACATCACAGCCCGTGCTCCCCTTCCTCCAGCTAGCAGGAAACCATCTGGTTATTCACAGGGGTTTGCATCCCTTATAGTAAGGATTAACTTTTCCAACTGAACTCCAGTGGGGAAGGACTGGGAATACAGCCATGTGCTGCAGCATCTCCATTCCTCCATCATAAAGATAAGGGCGGCTCCATGAGGATCATTGCCACACACACCAGCAAGTGAGAAGAACATATATCCCCATAGTGGCTGTCTTTATGGTCCCAAGTCCAAACACTCAGTTACTCTACAGCAATTGCTCTACATAGAAATGCTGGAAAACATCTGGAATTATTCTCTCCAATCACAAAGCATAGGGAAAGGCAGAGATGGATGGATTCTGCGATAGATGGATGTGACCAGCAGGTCAAAGGAGGTGATCCTGCCCCTCTACTCTGCCTCTCATGAGACCTCACTTGCAGCACTGTGTGCAGTTCTGGTGTCCTCAACATCAGCAGGACATGGAGCTGTTGGAGCAAGTCCAGAGGAGGCCACAAGGATGAGCAGGGGCTGGAGCACCTCCTGTATGTAGACAGGCTGAGAACACTGGGGCTGTTCAGGCTGGAGAAGACTCCAGGGAGAGTTTCTTGTGGCCTTTCAATAATTAAAGGGGCCTATAAAAAAGATGGGGAGAAACTTTTTAGCAGGGCCTGTTGAGATAGGATAAGGCTTGGTTTTAAACTAAAAGAGGGGAAATTCAGATTAGATATAAGGAAGAAATTCTTTACAGTGAGGTTGGTAAAACACTGGCACCAGTTGCCCAGAGAGGTGGTGGCTGCCCCATCACCGGCCACATTCAAGGCCAGGCTGGATGTGGTTCTGATCAACCTAGTTGAAGATTCAAGGCCAGGCTGAACAGAGCCTTGGGCAACATGGTGTAAGTGTGAGATGTCCCTGCCCATGGTAGCGGTTGAAACAGGATAATCTTAAGGTCCTTTCCAACCCAAACCATTCTATGGTTCTATGACCCTGCTGCTGAGAAGCCCCACAGTGGCCCCATCCAAACACCACAGGGGAAACGGAACCGGATGAGGATGAGGAGCCACCACATTACCCACCTCTCCACTGGGATCAGGGAGAGGTGGTCACGCTTAACGTGCTAAACGCACTCTTCCCAGCCATGGCCCACGGTGAAGAGCCCGAACGGGTCTCCAGAGCCCTTGTTCCAACACAACCCTTATTATTATAACAAAAGAGGGTGGTAGGGGTTTTTCTCTCCCCCCCTCTCCCTTCAGGGAATGATTATTAATGTGATTCCAGGAGCTGGGTCCATTCCTCTAAATGAGAGCGGGATGGCAGGAGGAAAGCTGATAAATGCCCTCCTCCCCCCGGCCGCGCGGCAGGAGCTGCCAGGGCCCCTGGTTCTAACAAGCTGCAGATGGAAGACGACTGGAATAACAGAGTATGAATTTTTATGAGTCTAATAAATCACTTCACTGCTTTTTTTTTTTTTTTTTTTTTCCCCTCCTCTTGATCGTTTTCAGCACTTCAGACACTTGGAAAAACCCCGGCTCTAATCAAATGGGTTCATAGATCCCGTGTTCACGCCTCGCCGGGGCACGCACGGAGGTGGCTCTGCTAAGGGAAACGACAGCGAGCGTTTGGCACTATGGAAACCCATTTGCATTCCGGCTTTGGGATTGAGCTCATTGATTTGGACTTAATTTAATAAGGAGAAATTTGAATCCTTTCGGTATTCCCCCTCCCTCAGAGCTGCTGCTCAAAGTTAGCACCACCCAGGTAAACCTTTCCTAACTATCCAGTTAAAAAGCCCCTGAGCTGACTCTGGCATCAGCAGAGAAACTTGGATGAATTCTGTGAGAACAGAGGCAAACTTTGCAGGCAGAGGGTTTATTAACATCTCTTTAACTCTCTTTTCTATAGCGCTGTAGAAAGCAGGCAACGGAGAGGCTCCAAAGCCATCAAGAAACAAAAGGGTTCAACTTCCAAGTTAAGGATGCACACATATGTTTGCTGAAGGAAGTACGAGGCCTGATGAGCACCATGGTGAGGGGAAGAAAGAATCAACACTTTGCTTTCCTTACCAAAAAGCTGCTCCTGAAACCTCCAGGACAGTGATTACCAGGAGAACAGAGGCCAAGTCAGACACACCATGGTGTGGTTACAGAGAACATGACCATTGCTCCCCACTGCTCTCTAATCCCTCAGGACCAAGCACAGGAATGCAACCTGTAGCTCCAGGAACTCTGAAGCCTGGAAAACAACATCCCTGTGATGGACGCAGCTATCCACACCAGTGCTGATGGCAAACCTCCATCACACCACACCAACAGCATCCTGAGCATTGATGCTTTACCCTCCCAAAGGAAGAAGGGCAAGTTAGCAGGGAAACCTGTTGTTTCATAGAATGGTTTAGGCTGGAAAGGACCTTAGATCATCTAGTTCCAGTCCCCTCCCACAGGCAGGGACACCTTCCACTACAGCAGCTTGCTCCAAGCCCCTGCGTCCAACCTGGCCTTGAACACTGCCAGGCATGGAGCATTCACCACTTCTCTGGGCAACCTGTGCCAGCACCTCAGCACCCTCACAGTAAAGAACTTCCTTATCTCCAACCTGAACTTCCCTTGTTTCACTTTGAACCCATCACCCCTTGTCCTATCACTCCAGTCCATGATGGAGAATCCCTATCCAGCATCCTTGCAGACCCCCTCCAGACACTGGAAAGCTTTTCCATCATCCTCATCCTCCCACAGCCTTTTAATCCATTCCCTCTGTTGTTTTTTTTCCCCTGGCTTTTCATTTGCTTTTCCAGCACAGCGCTGCATCAGGGAGGGAATTCATCTTTGACAAACATTTACCGATTATCAAATCACAACTGCAGCTGCAGACAGGGGCAATAAGTCACTTGAAGCAACCGTCCCTATTGTAGGCTGAGGAGTTTGGGCAGCTCCTCGATGACAAATCACTCCTGTCAAAGCCGCGTGTTCCCTGGCGCTCCGAACCCGTGTTCTCTTGTTGTTCCACACTACCTGGTGTTTAATGACAACACTGTCAGACTAAGACGAAGCCTCGACGCTGTGGACTGTCAAAGCCCTATTAGAGGGAAGATTGAGACCCTGCTCTTCTTAAACTCACTCAAGCAACACAACCCACGAGTTTTTCTAATTATGGTGCGAGAGCCATCGATCGCGTGCTGACACCGAACCTCTCCGTATGAAATGGGAGTAGTTTGCTGGGTGACACTTGCTATAGATTATTGGGGGTGGGTTGGTTTCCCCCACACACACCTCCTTTTAGCCAAAGCTTAGGATGGATGGGAAGGAAGAAGAGGAAAGTCTATGCTTTCACTTAGGTAACGTCAAAGCAACTTTTGGGAGGTTGATGCTTGTATGATGCTTCCCTGGTTGGGAAAACCAACCTGCCTGCTCCAACTCACACATCTCCCAGCACACAAGCCCTACTTAGATTATCCCAATACGTAT